CTTTCTAAGGACAATCTCTCAAATCAGTTACAAGTGTTTAAATAACTATTTTCCCATCTGATAAGCTACGTATCTTATAGCAGAATTCCTCGAAAGTGGGCAAGTGTAATAGCAGCTCCATTAATTCCTGGACTAAGAAACTTGGCAAACATTAACTTAATTACCATAACTTTGCAGCAATATTTATTAAACTGTTGGTGATAGCTTAAAATATTACTTGCAAGCACGCTTATATTAACTCTGGTATATTTAGTATTGTGCCAAGAGCGTAAAATGTGTTTATAAAATCTAACGACTGTGGTGTTTCCTCACAATTTTCGTTTAAAGTGAGGAAAAATAAGTGAAATGAGATAATATATATGTAAACATATATAAACACAATTTATGTTTTGTCAAAAGCGTTGTCGACCTTGTTTGTCTTTGTTTGCTGTTCTATTCCGCTGTTGTTTTAGCTGGGATTTTCGCTATCGGTTTCTTTTCGCTATTGCCTTTTTGCTTTGATTTCACTTTACTTATTGCCAAGTTTATCGATTCTGACTGCCTTTCCGCCGAAAAGAATCAATTTTTTTAAATTTTCCTTAATTTTTTAAATTGTGACTGTGCTTTAAGTAACTATTTGACTGGAACTTTTAGCTTGAGAGAATACTGGGGAACTAATCTCTATCAGTAAAAACACCCACAACATTTTTGTTCATATAATTTCTAATCTGCATTTTTAATTGAAACATTCGTTTCAAGTACACATTTTGGATTAATTAATTATTCTATCAAAATTAAAATTACATTTGAATGGTATTTTACAAATATTAAACAGTTTTTGTTGCTCATGAATAGAATTCTGGATTACTCTAAAAGCTAGTTTGAACTGAACTGAACTGAAAATGCTATTTATGTTGTGCGTAAACCGATTAAACTTATGTAAGTTTTTTTTTGTTACTAGGAGCTGACACAATGTCCAGGCTAAATGTATTAATTTTTAATTCAATTTCAGTATATTTCTTGTTAGTCAAGTCATATCTCCTCGACTAAGAGCGGCTATTTCAAAATGCCTTGCCCAAAATACTGCATAACAAAGGCTAGGTTTTAACGGTGTTTTCTACTTAAGGTTTTCTAAAATTTAAGAGAAGAAATGTTGTAAGCAACCTATCAGTAATATTCTTTTTTATATCTACTTTAAGCAGTATATTCCATTACATGCAGCAGCACTTGACTGTTATAGTAAAGTCGGTTTTTGCGATGCAATTGTTGAGGGTATTGTACAAGTTCACCACGAATGTCGATAAATTTTCATTAGAACATGCAGTCTAAAAACTGCATGCGTGCATTTTTATATTTTAGCGAAATAGCGCTATCCCAGAT